GGGGCGCGAGGACGAGGGAGCTGGGGTGCAACCCCGCGGGGGGCGAGGGAACTGGGGGCTCAGCCCAGGTGGTACATGAAGGTGCGGGGAAGGCTGAGGGCACAAGGCGCAAGGGGGGGGGTAGTGAGGGAGCTGAGGGCGCGACCTGTGGGGGGCCCAGAGAGGACCGGGCATGAGTAGGGGCCGAGTAGGCCAGGGGTGGGGTCCCAGGTGACCCCCGCGGTCTCTGGGTTTTGCTTACAATCTTTCTTTGTGTGGTTTCCAGACTGCTTTCGCCTGTTGGGAACAATTTGCTAAATGTGGATATTGAAAATGTAGCACTGATTTGAAAACGTCGTCCGTTTTTTTAGGGGGGGGTCACTTTTAAAAATAGTTTCTTTTTTTATTGTCTTCGTAGAGCACATACATTGCTAAACATACCCCAACCGGGCAGCTGCTTTGCCTACAATTGAGTGACGCAGGGGACGATACTCCAATACTCTCCCGGTGCAAGCTCTCTCCGACTTTCTGAAGACCCCACCTCTGACAAACTCGCCGGTTTCATTTCCATGGTGTGATTTACTCCTTTGCTATGGAGAGAACTGTCCACAGTGGGTGAGAGGGAACCTGGAAAGGTCGCTGGTTCCATTCCCTGAAGCCAGCACTGCCTTTCTCCATACCTGAGCCTAACCTGCCCCACTGCGAGTGTATACCACAGCAGGTGTTCAGTGATGGCCCCAGCCTGCTTCCCACTCTTGTTCTCCCCCCAGCCCAGGCCTTTCTTTCCCCTCTGCCTTCAGGGTCCCTCGGCATACGGAGACAGACTCCATGTGTTTGCCTCCACCCTCAGGTGGGTTCAGGGCTGTGAAGGGGTCTGCATTAGAGTGAAGGCTAGTTTGGCTTCAGGGAATGAAGACATCATGATGTAGGCAAGGCTGCCTTCATTGACTCTGTGTCCCCTCTGAGGGACAGTGGGCTCTTTATTAGCCCCACCTACATCTTAGATGGTGTGGTGGTGGTTATGTGCCATCAAGTCACCTGCAACTCATAGCAATCCTGTGTACAACAGCTCTGAAGTCTACCCTTCCCTGAGACAGTCTTAATGACCTTGACACACCTACCCCCATTGCCCCAGTTATTGTATCAAGCCAACTTATCTGGGGTCATCTTCTCCTGCCTTGTCCCTTCACCCTTCTGAGCATATGTCCTCCAAGGATTGGACCCTCCTGGGCACATGCCCTAAATATGTGAGACAACTTCAAAATCCTAGCCTCCCAAGGAGAAACTTGGTTTCACCCTCTCCAAGACAGACCTATTTGTTTTCTCCAGCACCACAACTCAAAGGCATCAATTCTTCTTCTGTCATCCTTAGTCATTGCCCAGCTCTCTGATGCATGGCAAGTAATTGTGAAGACTATAGCCATGCATTGTTCTCAGTACTCTAGAGAGGTCCCTGACAGCAGATTTTCCCAATACAGTTCATCTTTTGATTTCCTGACTGCTGGTGCCAAGAGTGTTGATTGTGGAACTGAACAAGCTGTAATTGTTAACAACCCCAATCTCTTCTCCATTTATCATGGTGCTGCCAGGTGGCCCAATGGTGAGAATCTTTGTCTTCTTGATGTTGAGCTTCAATCTATATTGAAGACGACAGTCCTTGACCTTCTTCAGGTCCTTCTCATTTTCCATAAAGAAGGTTGTATCATCTGCATAACCTAGATTGTAGATGAGTCTTCCTCCAATCCTGATGCCACATTCCTCTTCATAAAGCCCAGCTCCCACGGTTCGAATCCACCAGATGCTCTGCCGAGGAAGGAGGGGCAATCTCCTCCTGTACCAGTTAGATCTGATTTGACGGTACACAGACACACACACACACAAATAATAGTAATTTTTTAAAAAAAAACTTTTCCCGAGGCTCCGACAAGATGGCGGAAGTGGAGCAGAAAAAGAAGCGGACCTTCCGCAAGTTCACCTACCGCGGCGTGGACCTAGACCAGCTGCTGGACATGTCCTACGAGCAGCTGATGCAGCTGTACAGCGCTCGGCAGCGGCGGCGGCTGAACCGGGGTCTGCGCAGAAAGCAGCACTCGCTGCTGAAGCGGCTTCGCAAGGCCAAGAAGGAGGCGCCCCCGATGGAGAAGCCTGAGGTGGTGAAGACGCACCTGCGGGACATGATCATCCTGCCCGAGATGGTGGGCAGCATGGTGGGCGTGTACAACGGCAAGACCTTCAACCAGGTGGCGATCAAGCCCGAGATGATCGGACACTACCTGGGTGAATTCTCCATCACCTACAAGCCCGTCAAGCACGGCTGGCCTGGCATCGGCGCCACCCACTCCTCCCGCTTCATCCCTCTCAAGTAGCCCTGTGACAATAAAGGTCGTGGACAAACAAAAAAAAATTAAAAAAAAATAAAAAAAAGCCCAGCTCCCAAATGATCTATTCCCATAGATTGAAAAGGTGTGCAGACAGGACACATCCTTGACTCACTTAGATGGTAAAGAAGATATTTTAACACTATTTACAGGAGCCCAGTGTTTCTGCCCAAGCCCTAGGCCTGTGTTCTCTGGCTCCACTATCACCACAGCCCCGCAGCTTATTTACCTAAGTCTGCAACTACCAGTCATTTCATGAGAGAAAGGTGGATTGTCTCCATCCCCTCAGTGGACTTGACAGCAAGCAGTGAGTTGCTGCGTGGCAGGGTTCCAGGCCACGCACAGACGGGACTGCATCCTCTTGTCCAAAGCCCACAGCCTGGGGGAGGCCCCTAGTGCCACCCAGACTGCAGAGCCCATGGTGGACCATCAGTGGACAGAGCTCCTTGTGAAAGGGCTGTGTTCCTGTGCTCAAAGCAGGCCCTTACAGAGAGCACAGCAGCCCTCAGGGCCTCCCTGAGAGCCGGCTGGACCCCAGACCAGCCTGGGCGGTGGGCATGCTTGAACTGCTGGCAGCTCCCCCGGACCCCAGACCAGCCTGGGCAGTGGGCATGCTTGAACTGTGGTGTGTTCCTTTGTATGTCTTCTCACCACGATGACTGCACAACAAAGCACATTTCCAGGGTCCAGCCAGTGAGCTGCCTGCTGGCACCACCCGAGGGGTTCATCAGCAACTGACCCCCCCCACCTCACCATCCCCTCACATCCTTTGAACTTCAAGGTCTGTGAGCACCTTCACAATCTGCTGGGCAAGGAGATGGAGGCCTGGGGAGTGACAGGAAAGGAAAGGGGTCCAGAGCCTCTCCCTGGACGATGCCGAGTCAGGAAGAAGGGACCTCAGGACTCCTTGTCACCTGTGCCATGACCCGTGCCCTGCTTGGCACTCAGGAGGGGCCCTAAGACACTTGCAGCTGCCTGGCAGGGGAGTCTGCCCATCTGAGTAGGGGACAGTGGGCCGAGTTTGTCTGGGAAGTGGGTGACCCCAGCTTCAACAGGCTTGGCTCCCACCTCCTGTTTTATGTGGAGACCACAGACTAGAGCCCTTTCCAAAAGCTGCTGAGGTTCTGACTTCAGGAACTAGCACCCTGCCTTCCCGAAGACCACACTGGGCCCTGGGTACTGCAGGAAGAAGAGGCTGCAGAGGGCTGTTGGAGGCAAACTCTCTACGTCCTCCCACTCCTCCAGCTCCTCCCACCACGCCCCTCTGAGTCACCAGACCTTTCCATACAGCAGAAGGCCACTGACCCCTTCGTCAGAGGTTCAGCACTCCTGCCAGCAAGCTTCCAGCCTTCCCTTTGCCCCAGAGCTGCCCGCTCTCAGCTAGAACCCAGGTGTTCGGAGGAGGTAGCCTCAGGTAAAGTTGGCAACCTCCACTGATGGCAGACGGCTAGGCCAAGCCAGATGCAGATCAGTGTGGGTGTTTATTTCCTGCCCTACCGTCCGGGATGGCCAGTCCTGGGTGCAGGGCTGGGCTCAGGGCTAGGAGTGACCGGAGGCCTGCTCTGCCCTAGGCTGGTCCACACTTCCTCCAGGAGCTGGCCATAGAGTGGAGGGTGATGGCCCCGAGGCCATGGGGGTCAGGACAGCTGGATGTTGAGGCTCGAAGACGCCCAGTGCTCATGCTCCGCCCTCCCAGAGGCTATGGGTGGTCCTTCTCCGGCAGCACCCCCACCAGGTCAGATCCCCTGGGTCACTGGGTCATCAGAGCAGGCCGAAGTGCCAGTGGGCCACAAGCCTGGAGTCAGGATCAAGTTCTAGCACTGGGTCTCCTGGGCCCACAGGCCCATGTGAGTGCACTCCTGGGGTCCTGGTGAGGCTGGTCGCTGTTGTGCCAGGTGGTGTCCTTCTGTCCATCTGCCCATGAGCTTTCTGCTGCGCAGCCTCCCCTCCGGGCCTTTGCTGGCCCTGCCTCCACCTGTGTGGACTGTATCCAGATTCAGCCTGACATGGCTGGATGCACGAGCTCATCTTGTTCACGTCATTCAGCCTCAGTCCCATCTGCAGAATGGGTCACCACAGAACCCCGTGGCCGAGCAGCCAGACCTGTGCAGGAAGGACCAGGCAGGGCGAGGGGAGAAAGATGGAGAAGTGGGAAGAACTGAGGGAGAGAAGGAATCAAGGACGCTGGTGAAAGGTTGGTGGTTCAAACCGACCAGCAGCACACCCGGAGAGCACACTTGTAGAACAGTGTGGCCATATACTTTCTTAAAGACCACAGTCCAGGACTCCTGTGGGCTAGGCTGAGCTGTCTTGTAGGGTCACTGCACTGTGCAGTCCACTATAGCTGGGTTTGGTTTAGTCTGGTTTAAAGGAAAAGGAGATGAGGGAGAGAGAACAGACGGGGAAGAGGACAGAGGAGGGGAAAGACGGAGGAGAGAGGAAGGGGGGAGACAGGAAAGGGGGTAGAGAAGAAGAGGGGGGAGAGAGGAAGAGGGGAAGAGAGGGCGGGAGAGAGAGAGGACAGCGGGGAGAGGACTGGGGGGAAAGTACAGAGGAGGGAAAGAGGACGGGGGAGGACAGAGGAGGGGATAGAGAGTACAAAATGGGAAGAGAGGATGGGGGAGAGACAGGAGAGGGAGGAACAGAAGAGAGGAGGCAAGGGGGACAGTGAGGACAGACGGACACAGCGAGGCGGACGAGTGGAGAAGGGTGCCCTGGCCACCAGGCGCTTGTTCTTCCCCTGCCTGACAGTCCTGAGTCTCTGCCCCTCTGCCCTACGCCCTGTGTGTTCCTCCTCCACCCTTTGTGGCCCAGGCCACAGAGCAGCCAGAAGTGGGAGACAGCTCTGCCTGCCTGGAGGGGGTGTGCTCACCATGTCTGTCCAGCCTCACGCCCTCCGGCTTCCCGGGTAGGCTCCCCTCCAGGCCTGGCTGGGGCTACAAGGCGGGCACGAAGCGGATCCTCTGGGAGTAGGCCAGGTCCACAGTGTAGAGCAGCAGGTTGACGTAGGTGAAGATGGCCACCACCAGCTGACTGTCCCAGGGGCAGTGGCCCCGAGCACAGTCCAGCGGTCGCCAGGGCTGGCCGTACTTGGGGTCGAAGCAGAAGACGGGCCAGATGACAGCGGCACTGAGATACAGGAGCACAGCTGCAAAGGTGTACACCACCACCAGGCGGTCAAAGGGGCAGCCCAGGCCGCCCGTGCAGCCCATGACGCTCAGGGCCACCACGGCCACCGTGACCAGGAAGCACAGGCTGTAGACGGCCACACACCACTGGGTGGCCGCGTAGCGTGTGTAGCGACTGTCATAAAGCAGCGCCCCGAAGATGATGCAGGCCACGAAGGCCTGGACGACCTTGAGCAGCCCCGACACCGTGGCCATGTAGCTGGCCACCTGACCGGGTCGGGCCCGCGTCAGGGCCACCTCGGCGGCATAGGCCAGGCAGAGCAGGCCGGCGAAGACACTGGCAGCCAGGCGGAAGTCCCGAGCGGTGCAGCCCTCAGGCTCGGCCGGGCAGCGCAAGCGGGTGAAGAAGACTGGGTAGACGACGGCGGCCGTGGCCGTGAGCAGAGTGGCCAGCATGGCGAAGGCCGCCGTGAAGTTGCCCCAGGACAGGCGCAGGCAGCCGTGCAGCTGCGTGAACTCGCAGGCCAGCACCAGCGCCGAGAGCGCGAAGCAGAAGACCCAGGCGGCCACGCAGAAGGTGCCCTGCACGCCCGCAAAGCCGCCCCGGTGCGCCACCAGGCTGAAGGTGGTGCAGCCAAAGGCCAGCTGCAGCAGGCGGGCGGTGCCCACGGGGGAGGCCACGGCGGCCAGGTGCAGGTAGCCGCCCCCGGGGGGCTCGGGGCTGCCCATGGCCTGTGCCTGCCTCGCCCAGCGCCCTCGGCCTCACCCGCTGCCCTGAGTGCTGCGGAGGTGCGGTGACAGCGGTGATACTGCGGCAGAGCTGTCTCTGTGGGGAGGGCCAGCCCCCCAGCGCTATAAATAGCCTGTGGCCATCAGAGCCCCGGAATAGCGCAGCTTGGAGCCTGCCCCGTCCCGGAGGAACAGCTGAGCCCAAGGGCCCAGCCTGAGCCCTTAACCCCTTGGCCCCTGGAGGCGCCGACTCCATGAGCCGGCAACCAGCTCGGCTGATCGGCGGGGGCGGGGTGCAGCTCTGGCCGGGCTCCAGGACGCAGGCGGCGGGAGCAGACACGTGGAGGTCTCGTCTCTGTCCCGTCAGCCCCATGTGTTGTCCCTGGTCCTTGGAGAGAGGTTGGGGGAGGGGGCAGACTGCTTTATTATGAGGGAACCACTGTGGAGCTCTTGTCTCTCTGAACACCTTAAAATAATTCACACACACACCCTGGCTTAGGATAAACCCTTGGTAAATAGAAAAGTTTTTCTAAAGAAAAGAATGTTTGTTTCTGATTTATTATTATTAGGTGAACATATGAACAACAGAACCTCACAATGTCTTACACACTCGAACCCATTGCTCCAGTCACTGTGTCAAGGGTGGAGGGTTTTCCTCTCCTTCACTGTCCCTCCAGCTTCTCAAATATGATGTCCCTCTCCAAGGAATAGCTTCTCCCAGCAACATGTCCAAAGTATGTGAGATGTAGCTTCACCATCCAAGGAGCACAGTGGCTCCTTGTCAAGGGATATTCAGCGCCACAACTCAAAGACATCAGTTCTTCTGTCATCCTTATTCATTGTCCTGCTCTCAGATGCCTAGAAGATGATTGAAAAGACTATGGTCTGAATCAGGTGCCCTTACTCCTCAAACTAACATTATCTCTCCTCAGTAATTTGGAGAGGTTCCGACTGCAGACTTTCCCATTTCAGTATGTCTCCTGACTGCTGGGACCAAATGTATTGAAGAAAAAAGTTACATGGAGTGATTGACAGTTTCAATCTCTTCTTAGTCTGTCATGATATCACCTATTGATTCAGTGGTGAGAATATCTGTGTTCTTGCTGTTGAGCTGTGATCCGTGTGGAACGTGCAGTGTTGACCCTTTGGCAGCAGGTGTTGATGCCTGTGTGCAGGTCCAAGTCTGTGCTGTGTGAATTTCCAAATCTGCAGGGAGCTGAAGAAAGAGATGGCATCCTCTTCTCCTGAGTTTGGTGACCACAGCAGGTCAGCTGTTTTTATGCATTCATTTATATTCTTACACATACGATTTATATTATGGTTATGTATGAGACTTGTGTTTATAAGTAAGATAAAATTTGTGCATGTTTATATGGTCTCTTGTATACTTTTTTGTTGCTTTTTTTTTGTGGAGATGCCAGGGAATGAACCCATATGTTGCATTTTTAATCCATGTACATGCTTATATGCACGCTCTGGTCACGCATGCGGTCATGGCTGACAAGTCAAGACCCACTCACAGCTGACTCTTCAGCAGATTTCTGAAGCTTTAACTCATATATAACTTGTATCTATGTTATTTATTTTCTGTTCATGTGTTTAAGAAATGTCTTAGTCATCTAGTGCTGCTTGCTGTAACAACGATCCCGCCCGTGATGGTATCACAGAGATTGACTGTCTTATTTTTTTTTATTATTTTTGTGTGAGTGTACCATCAAATCAGATCTGACTGGTACAGGAGGAGATTGTCCCTCCTTCCCTGGCAGAGCATCTGGTGGATTCGAACCATGCACCTCTGGGATTGTAGTTGCAGCTCCTTACCATTAGGCCACCAGAGCTCCCCTAGAGATTGACTGTCTTAAAGTTTAGGAGACAAGCTGTCCACAGTCAGGTGCCAGCTCGGGGAAGGACCCTGTGGGTTCTGGAGGCGGGGCCTTGCCTCCTACAGCATCTGTATGTATAGATGCTATATGTACAATACATGTTGTATGTAGAATCCAGCATCTATAATAACCCAGCAGCAGGTGGATTTGAAGCACATTCCCCTGGGTTGGCAGCGTAGCTCCTTACTCATCAGCCATCAGAGCGCCTGTAAAGACAGCACCTGCCAGCTCACCTTTCCTTGAAGATCTTCCCACCATAGGTATCAAGGCGCTTCCTGGTGTGGATATAAGAGGACCCTCCGGGCGC